AAAGAGCTGGCGTCTCAGCTGACAACTACAGCCAAGGCTGGGAGGAAGAGCTGGGACAGGGCATGGGGGGGTCCCTGTAGCCCCTCACCCCTTGCTCTCCAGTGCAGACAACAGTGTGGACGTCCCTGGAGGGGCCATCACTCTGTGCACACACTGGGGGACAGTCACAAGTGCCTGGATGTCTGCCTTGTGCTCAGCCACACCGCCCTGGACCCCACCATTCTCACAGCTCTGCTCCTCTCGCTTCTGCCCTCCGCCAGCCTGATGCTGTGTCGCCCAGAGACCATCCCAGCCACTCAGTTCCTAAGGAGGCTGGCAGCAGAGGACATTATCACAGGGACTGCGCACAGCTGGGGATGGGTGAAGGGTGTGGTTAGCACTGGGACGATACCTTGTCCAGGGATGGCATGGCTCAGTTTTAGAAGTGACATTGGAGAAGGTGCCTTCTGCACAGGGCTCGCAGGGGGATGATATCCGGGCCACGGCCTTGGCTGGAGAAGAGCAGAGGTTGCAGGAAGGTCAGTACAGGCTGTGGAAGGTGAGGGGCTGCAGGGGTGAGGTGAGCAGCACTCCCTGCGGCAACGCTGCCAGGCACAGCGGCAGGCACGGCTTTCCTGAAGCCCTGCTAGGGGCACCTTGCTGGGGGAGCCCCCCTTTTCCAGGAGGACCCGAAGTCAATGCTTCCAGGGCTGAGAGGGAGGAGCTGGTCGGACTCACCTGCCACAAAGCCGAAGCCGCGCTGGCAGGGCTGGTTCTCCACACAGGTCTGGCAGCTGGTGTCAGAGCAGTGCGTGCCGGCCTGGCACTGGCACACCGTGTTGTGTGTTGCGTTGCCTTGCGTCTTCACGATGAGGCCAGCATCTGAGCAAGGTGAGACAGCAGCAGGGGGTGAGCCTGGGGGGGCACCAGCCCCTGCAGCCCCCGCAGGCCAGGGCTCGTGGGCATGAGGAGCACTTACTGTTTTCACAGATATCGTGGGGGGCACAGTGCCTCTCCTTGGTCCAGCTCTGCTGATAGTGTCCGCTCTCACAGCCGATGCAGACAGAGTCTTCTGTGACATTGCATTCGGAGACCAGCTTTTGCCCTGCAATAGAGGCTGGGGAGGAGGGGGGGGGGGGGCGTTCCCCCCCCTCCG